AAAATCATACATATCACTTTATAAAATCAACTTGAAATATAAACATATCAGGCAAGAGCCATAACAAGGCAGGCACATTTCCTGTAAGTTGTCATCATCTATTGCTAGTGATAAAATGTTCTTATGTGTGGAAAGTAATTTTATATGATTGTTAATATCAAAATGAAATCTGCAAGTCTGTAGATTGTCTGTCTAAATACATAACATTTCACCAGGTATGGTAGTGTATGCCTGTAATCCCAGGGACACCAGAGGCTGAGGCAGGAGGATCACAATTTTAAGGCCAGCCTCAGCTAATGCAAGCCCCTAAGTAACTTAGTGAGACACTATCTCAAAATAAAAAATAAAAAGGGATGAGGATGTGGCTCAGTGGTTTAATCCCCTCAATCAATCAATCAATCAATGGTATTCCATGTTACATCCTAGAAACCCATATTGAAATGGAGATGCCTGGTATGGCATTGCAATAGCCTGAAATACCTGTTGTCTTGGGAAAACATTCATCCAGCTCATGCTCCTCCTGCGCCCTTCACGACAGGCACACGATCCTTAGCAGTACAGTCTATCTTCAGGGCAGGCTGGGTTGTTGAGAAGCCTTCCTGATACTAAACTGCAATCTCTTTCCCTTTTTATTCTCTTTGATAGAAACCCCTTAGAAGTCTATGGCACAAGTTCTGTTTCTTGCAAGGTCAGATACATCCAGAGTATTTTAATAGCCTGTTTCCTTTAAATCCTTTTTCTTTGGACATAGCTTTGTATCCTTTCATCCTATTTATCTCACTAATCTCAACAGACCTTGAATTCTTCACTTCCTTTTCAAATGTAATACCCAAGGTGAGTGAGGTCTTCCAGATGACACAGGTAGGCCCCCTCTTCATTCAGCAGTTTGCACATTTATGAGTGTAGCCTAGGAGCACATGTAGATTTGGATTAATTTTCATTTTGAAGCTATACTGCATACTTATGAAAGAGTCAAAAGAAAAGAATTCGTTAGCCCAGAATTCTATACCCAGTCCTAGACCAATCTATCAGGAATGAAGGGGGAAATGAAGCCATTCTCAGAGAAAAGAAAACAAAGGAAATTTATCATTAGCATATCTGCCCTAAAAGAATGACCAGGGAAGTTCTCTCAACAAAAGGAAATGATTGTAGAAGGAACCATGGGACATCAAGAAGGAAGAAGAAGGTGGTAAACAAAAACAGGGGTAAAAGCAGTGAGTTTACTTTCCTTGAGTTTTCTAAATTATTTGATGGATAAAGCAAAAATTCTAACATTGATCTGGTTCCAAATGTATGTAGTAGAAATGTTTAAGACAGTGATGTAAAGAATGTGAAAGAAGGAAAGGTTTCTATACTACACTTGAACAGGGAAGATGATGACACAAGTATACTGTGATGTTCTGTGTATATAACACCAGGGAAGCCACTAAAAACACCATACAAATAAGATATACTCAAAAACACTATCGAGGGCTGGAGATGTGGCTCAGTGGTAGAGTGTTTATCTAGTATAATAAGGCCCTGGGTTCTAATCCCAGCTACTTGGGAAGCTGAGGCAGGAGGATCACAAGTTCAAGTCCAGCCTAGGCAATTTAGCAAGACTGTCTCAAAATAAAAGGGTCTGGGTTATAGCTCCGTAGCAGAGTACTTGCCTAGCATGTGTGAGGCCCTAGGTTCAATCTCTAGGACTACCAAAAAAAAAAAAAGAAAGAAAGAAAAAATGAAAAGAAAGAAAGAAGAAAAGAAAAAGAAAAACAAAACATTATGAATAAATCAAATGAAATGATGAAAGTATTTATGTAGCCAATGTGAAGACAAGAAAAAGAAAACAAAAGTGAAAAATGGAGAAAAGAAAAGAAGACAAAAAGTAAAATAGTGATTTAAGCCTTTAGATATCAATATTTACATTAAGTACAAATGGTTTAAATATACAATTTGAAAGGCAGAGATTTGGCTGGGGTATAACTCAGTCACAAGGCATGTGCTTAGTATGTGTGATGCCCTGGGTTCAATTCCAAGCACCATTAACAAAGGGTAGATATTGACAGAATGAATAAAATAAAACCTACTGTATGCTAAGGCAATTTAGTGAGATTCTGTCTCAAAACTATATATATATTAATATAACTTTGATATTGTTGTATTTTCATGCTTGGCCTAATACTCTGCTTTTCAACTGTTACAAATATCATTAGAAAGCAAGAGCATACCCTTGAGGACCCTACAGTCACATTATCTTTGGTATGCTTCTTTTCTTTATCGGAATAATTTGTGATAGCCCAGTGAAAATGACATTTTTAGTTCTTTCCATTCCTTATAGCTATTTCCTCATCTTCATAAAGATGTCTACAAATTCTTTGAATTTTGTGTGGTCTACTTTTGTAAAGACCAGGATATAGCTGGGCACAGTGGGGCACACCTGTAATCCCAGCTACCCCAGAGGCTGAGGCTGGAGAATCACAAGTTTGAGTCAACATGGACAACTTAATTAATCCTTTCTCAAACTGAAAAATTAAAAAATAGGGCTGGGGTGTTAGCTTAGTGGTAGATCACACCTGGGTTCAATGTTCAATTACCCTCCCCCACAAAAAAATGGTCTATGTCTGACCCAGTCAGTGCATGATTAAATTCTCTTAAAATTCAAATGTCAGTGTAGGCATATTCTAATTCTTCCTCCTACCCTGGTTTACTCTCTGTTCTCTATAGAGTAGGAACCAGCCAAGAAGCAGAACAACACATTATTCAATGCACTGAGAGATTCTTTCTTAGCGGTGAATGGGATTCAGAAATTCTGGAGTCCCCTTTTCTGGTCTGGGGATGGACTGTGACCTCAGATCACCCCTTAGGTACTATGCTGCAGCCTCTGCAACTGACCCCTCAGTGTGGCCAGCCTGACTGCTGGACTTCAGCCTAGGTTCCTGGTTTTCACTTCTCTTCTCTGCTGGGCCAGGAGCCAATGCTGAGCCCAGTCCAGTTGGCAAAGGCTCTGAACCCGTCTCCTAGTTTCTGCCAACTTTCTTTCTGGTATTTCTACCTTGGTTGATATGTCAATGCTTGTGCCAAGACTCTGGTCAACAGGAACTCTCATTTCCCAGAATGCCATAAGTCCCCTTTGTCCTCAGATCAGGCCCTTCACACAGATGCTGGCCCAAGTTGCACCTGTTGCCACCATAATTGCACCTGAGCCCACACAAAGTCCTTGACCCTGAACTGGTAGCATCATCTGCAGCCTGAGTGAGTCCTCTGCCCTGTGCCAGCTACCTCAGCAAAATTCTTTCTCACAGTGAATGCCCACATATCCATCACTTCAGCTAGTACCACTGCTTTGACAAATTAGTCCCTTAATGAGGATCACCAAGTAATAGTTCCCCTGATTAGAGTCACCACCCTCTGAAGGGTAAAATTACTGGCAGAACAAGTGAAAACTTTTCCAGGACTTGAGCATTTATTTTAATAAGACTTTATATGAAGATTAATTTAGGTTTAGTTGTGACCAAAATACCTTGCCTTTCTCTTTAACAATTTTTGTTGCCATTTGTCAAAACCTCCATCTCAGATGATATATATTATTTAAATTTTCTCTGACTTCAGATTTGTAGATATTCAAGGGCACATGTCTTTCATTTCAAAACAAGAGAGTTTTAATTTATAACAGAAACTAAGTGGTATTAACACATACACAAGTTATGGTAAAATAGTTTACTGGGATTTAAAAAACAGAGACCTACTTATATTGCTGTCACTTTGACATTGACTATATAGAGGGGGAAATAAATCAAGTACCAAGAACCAAGAGGTTCTAAGAATTAGAAGGTAGGTAGTGGTTCATATCTAAGAGTAATAAAATGCATATAGTGGTTATTTTATACTACTGTAATAACTAAAATATCCATTTATCCATTGATCTTTCCAGGACAGATAAGTGAGCTTAAAATGTGTCAGATTTTTTTCTCTTTCCTTTTTTTTGGGAGGTGGTGGAGCTGGAGATCAAACCCAGAAATAGATATTTAAAAACAGTTTCCTAAACTAAGACCTTGTTTGTAAATATTTACTTAAAAAAATCATTAGCCAAGTGTGATAGTGCATGCCTGTAGTCCCTGCTCCCTGCTGCTCAGGAAAATAAGTTTGAGACCAGCCTGGACAACTTAGCAAGTCCCTGTTTCAAAAAAAAATTTTTTTTTTTTTTTAAAAAGGTCTAGGAGTGAACTCAGTGGTAGAGCACCCCTGGGTTCAATCCCAATACTAAACACACACAAAATCATTAGTTAGCTTAATCTCATAAAGAAGATATATTTTGCTTGGATCAATATGAAATTTTATTTTTATTCTGTAGATCTTTTGGCCCTGGATAACCCTCAGTAGATAATTTACAGTCATTAAACATGGACCCATTTGCATTTGATGAAGCCAGGGAACAGTCTACATTGCCCAGTTTACTACCTCCCAAAGGCAAGCCTATACTTTAAAAACAGTGTCTTTCCTGAAGTCAGTAAATTCAGAAATGTCCATACTGTTTTTCTTCAAACCAGTATTCAGTTATGTGACAAGCAATGGCTTGAAGGACCTGCTGGCAGATTCTACCTCCTCATGCTAGAACGCTAACTTGAATTTAAGGAATGACATATGAAGCAAGATCATTTAAGACCACCAAAGAAGCGACATGGGAACCACATTTCTGTTTGCTGGAAGAAGTTGCTCGTGTTTAATGGGTGTCCACCAGGTTTAGGCAAGCGGTGGGTGGACTCTAGTTTCAGAGCCCTTAAGTTAACCAATGGCACTGAAGGTTTGCTCTTTGAGAATTAAAAAAAAAAAAAAAGAAAAGAAAAAGGAAGAAGAAGAAGAAAAAAAGGAATTCAGGTTACAGGAATCTTTTAAATACTATAATTGATTTCGAGGTTCGAAATCCATCAAGACAAACCAGAGAGGAAGGAGGGAATACAGACGCTGTCCTCTCCAGTTAAGCAAGGAACCCGGGGAGTCACTTGAGTGTCTGGCCGACTTTAATAGAGGTTGGTCTTTTTCATGATCTTGAGGAACTCCTCCTCGTTCACTTCGCCGTCTCCGTCGCGATCCGCTTCGTCGATCATCTCCTGCAGCTCCTCGTCCGTCAGGTTCTCCCCGAGCTCGGCGGCCACTCGCTTGAGGTTCTTGAAGGAGATCTTCCCGGTCTCGTCGTCGTCGAAGAGCCTGAAAGCCTTCATGATTTCTTCTTTGGTGTCTTTCTCCGACATCTTCTGAGTCATCACGGCCAAGAAGTCGTTGAAGCTGATCTTGCCCGTGCCCTCCCGGTCCACCTCGGAGATCATTTTCTTCAACTCTTCCTTCCTGGGCTCAAAGCCCAGCGCTCGCATGGCCACCTTGAGCTCCTTCACGTCGATGGTCCCGCTTCCGTCGGCATCGAAGAGGTCAAACGCTTCCCGAACTTCTTGCTTCTGGTCTTCAGTGAGTTCGGGCTTAGGACCCACCTTTTTCTTCTGGCTGGTGGAGGCCACGTTAGTCTTCTTGAAGCTGGAAGCCATCCTCTGGCGGCGGTTGTTACCTTGACGTCACCCACCGCGCATGCGCTCTGGCGCCCCCACGCGGAGCGCCCCGCTCCTGCACCTGCAGCCCCGCCGCCAGACCCCACCAGTCCTGCCTCTTCGAGGGGTTTTTATTTCCACAGCCATCCACTGTTTATTGCCTTGTTTTATGATCAGTTTCCTTGAGTTGATACCTGAGCTGGCAAGAACTGCCTGGAGCCAAGATCGTCTTCTATAATTCATGGGTGCTTGCTGTTCCTTTTTCCAGGCTGTTGGTTTGCATCTACAGAACCTCTTTTATAAATTTACTTAGAAGTTCTTCTTTGCTCTTTCTCCATGCTAACTTTAAAAAAAAAAATTGGTCTGAGGTTACCCAAGGGCGAATTTAGGATAATCAAGATTGAGTTTGCTCACTTGGCATTAAACGCGGAAAAGAAGAAGGAAGAGAGAATATTAAAAGTCGCATCACGTGTTCAACTCAACATAAATGGAAAACAGATAAAATGGAAAAAGTTATGTATAAAATTTGTAGAAGATTGTCTCCTGACATTATGCTCAAACATAATAAAGCTTTTCTGGCACGTTTTCAAATATAAAATGTAATATCCAAATGTATGATTTACTTTTAGTGTTTCAATTGGACATCCGCGGGATAATTGTACTGGAATAACGGTCCTAATTTCATTCACTAGGCTTTTGATTTGAAGGGAGGGGAGTTGAAATACTGCATTGTGATTTTTTAAATTGTTGTTGTTTGTTTTATTTTTGTTTCTTGTTTTGTTGGTCCTGAGGATTGAACCCAGAGGCACTTTACCACTGAGCTAAGTACCCAGCCATTTTTAGTTTTTATTTTGAGATAGGATATCATTAAATTGCTGACTGAGGCTGACCTGGAACTTGAAATCCTCCTGCCTCAGTCTCCTGAATTGCTAGGATTACAGGCAGCTGCCACTAAACAAGTGTAGTTTTCTTTTCTTTTTTAAATACTAGCAGCACTTTTTTAAAAAAATTGTACTTTTCATTTTTAATTTTGACACAGGGTCTGGCTAAATTGCTAAGACTGGCTTCGAACTAGCAATCCTCCTGCCTCAGCCTCACCAGTTGTTGGGATTACAGTAGTGGGCCATCACGCCATGCCCTAGCAGCGTTTTTACTGTTGCAGTTTGACTCATCCAGTCAGGTTTGTACTGAAACCCACATTCTGATAACTCTCCTTTGACAGTGGATAAGGGAGGAGAAGAAGCTGGGTATGCTGGGACCCAAAAATACTCCTGGAAATAAAGGGGTCCTTTTGTCAATCAAAGGAGAGAGAAAAATGAAAATTAAGAAAAAGTTACTAATAAGCCCATAAAGGAATTGCCATTAGGACTGCTCTGTATTTCTTTAAACAATAAAAAATAAATAAATAAAGACAGCTGACTTTTAATTTTTAGCATTCTTTGCCAAAAAAAAAACCCTTAAATATCAATTTATCACTACTTAATCTGTTACAACAGATGGCACTTGGAAGAGGTTTTATTCAAGAGTTTTTGTATCCCCAGCATCTAGAACAGTGCTTTTAAACAGTACAGGTAGATTAGTAGATTTTCATTGAATTAATGATAGTTAATATTGGTCCTAAAATACCTTCTGAATCATCAAAATAAAGCAAGCAAGCAAATAAAATCCAAAATATTAAATATTACATATGGCTACATGGTACAGACCTATGAGCCCAGAGATTCTGGAGGCTGAGGCAGGAGAATCACAAGTTTGAGGCTAGCCTTAGCAACTTAGCCAGGCCCTCGGCAACTTAGTGAGAGTGTGTCTCAAAATAAAAAAGTTAAAATGTCTGAGTATGTAGTTCAGTGGTAAAGTGTCCCTGGATTCAATCTCTAGTATGAAAAGAAAAGATTAAATAAATGATGCTGGAAGTATTTTACGAAATGGATTTTTGTTTCAATTTGTGATCAGGTATTGATTACACGGCATGGTTTTTTGTCTTGTGTTGTATTGGGCTTGTCTTTGTTTTAGCAGTGTTGGGCATCAAAGCCAGGACCTTTGCATGCTAAGAAAGGCTATACCACAGAACTGCACCCCTGGCCCCATGGTGCATGTTTATTTAGCCATAGGCCACTACCTGTCCCAGTTTATATGTGATAGTGGACAGAGGGCCTGGACACAGGGTTTCTAAAGGCCAAGGAAGCTTGCTTGGGCCTTCGTCTCTCTGTACTTGTTAAAGAGTTGTCAGCTCAGAGTAGACTCTGGCAGGCAGCTGCTGCAGCTGTTGATCTAGAAGCACTATATGTGTTCTTTCCTTGCTTTACTGCCATATCAAAAAGTCTGGGAGCAGGTGCAATAGTGCACACCTGTAATCCCAGCTGCTTGGGAGGCTGAGGCAAGGAGGATTGAGAGTTCAAATCCAGCTTCAGCAAGGGTGAGATGCTAAGCAACTCAGTGAGACCCTATCTCTAAATAAAATACAAAATAGGGCTAGGGATGTGGCTCAGTGAGTTCAATTACTGGTAACCCTCCCCCCTCAAAAAACACCCCAAAAGCCTGGGATCTTCTTCCAAGTCCATTCCTTATTATCCTTGTGACTTTGGGAAAGTCACTGAATCTTCCAATCTCATTTGAAGCATCTGCAAAGGAGACATCAAAATAAAGCTCCCAGTAGTATTTTCAATGAGACTAGCCATAAAAGCTCTAGGGACAGGGCCCCAGTAGGACAATATGGGACTTGGGACTTGGTAATTGTTAGTTGAATTTCAGTTCCTTCCAGACTTGGTGCATTTCCTTTGACAGCCACCCCTCTTCCCATATCCAAGCCAAGCTATGATGTGTTGGGAAAAACTGAAGGATAGAAGCTGCCTTCTATAGACACTGGGGCCAAGTTGAACTCAAAGCAAACTGGCTGTCATAGTTTCCAGATGTGTGCCATCAGCCGTCACAATCAAGGGCCACCAAGAGCTCCTAGCCCAGAAAATGGTGCCCTCAGTCAGAAGCAGCTCTTGGTGGGGAGTTACTTTATGTTCATAATCTAAACTGACATAAAAAGGAAAGGGAGACTCCCATTTATTGTGTGTCTAGTATTGTGCTTGGGCCTCCTATTTGTCATCTCATTTAATCCTTGCATTTATTCCCATTTTGCAGATTCTTTTTTTTGGGGGGGGGGGGTACTGGGAATTGAATCCAGGGATGCTAAAACCACTAAGCCACATGAGCCACATCCCCAGCCCTTTTTATTTTTTATTTGAGATAGGGTTTTGCTAAGTTGCTGAGGCTGAGGCTGGCCTTGATTTTGGGATCCTCATGCCTTAGCCTCCTGGGATTTCAGGTGTGGGCCACTATGCCTGGCCTTTTTTAAAAATGAGGAACAGGAGAGGTTTGTAATGAATATTCAATGGTACGTAGCCAATATATGTGGCTCTGGGATTAAGTCTGGCCTTGTTTGAGCCAATGCTGGGGTTTTGTTTCATTACCATACTGCCTTCTCCAAAGGTTGAAATTATTATCAAAACATAATATCAGTGGGAAGATAGGATATTGATTTTTTTCCCCCTTAAGCCCAGCAATAATTAAGCATCTTGCCTAAAAAAATTAAACAGGAATTTGTAAGATCTAGGACAGCATTCCAACCTGGGGTAAGTCAGTAAGAGAAAGTGTTAATCAATATCTGATCACAAAGGCTGGGTCTTTTCTCCTACTTGGAAATGTGGAGTCAAATAACAAGACCGAGCATGGACTGAGCAATGAAAAAGACTTTTATTTTGGCCAGAAATAGAAGAAGTGGGAGATCAACTGGCAAATCATTTCCCTATTTGGGGCGTGGTGAGGTTATAAATATAGGTTAAAAATGAGGGGGAGAAATACACTAATAAAAGGGGAGGAACACTCATGTATTTTCTGGAAATGCAAGAAGATTTTCTAGGAATTTGAATACGTTTTGCTCCTTTTATGTTTCTTTCTGTCATTATCAACTGTCACAGTGCCAGGGGGTGTGTCATCTAGCACACAGATGGGATTATAATCAAGTTAGAGGTTGTCCAGGTTCACTCTAGCAGCCATCTCAGATCCAACCAGTCTCAGCCAGCTCAATAGAAGAAGGACTTCTCTGGCCTTCAGGTAGACCGTCCTTAAAAAGATTAGGTTCATGCTGGGCACAGTGGTGCATACCTGCCATCCTAGCTGCTCCGGAGGCTGAGGTAGGAGGATATTGAGTACAAAGCCAGCCTCAGCAATTTAGCAAAGCCCTAAGCAAGCAACTGAGTGAGACCCTGTCTCTAAATAAAATACCAAAAAGGGCTAGGGATGTGACTCAGTGGTTAAGTGCCCCTGGTGAGAGAGAGAGAGAGAGAGAGAGAGAGAGAGAGAGAGAGAGAGAGAGAGAGAGAGAGAGAGAGAAAGAAAGAAAGAAAGAAAGAAAGAAAGAAAGAAAGAAAGAAAGAAAGAAAGAAAGAAAAGGAAAAATTAGCTTTGGGTAGAAATTTACCTAGGTCACATGATCAGTATAAGACTAAGTCAGGGTAACAAAAGTTATTTACATTTGTTCTTACAATTCTGCTTTACTTTTTTTTTTTTTCCTGCTTTTAACTCTACTTACAAGTTAGTGGAAAGCAATCTGGGCCAAGTGTCTTTGATTGTCATTGGTGTGAGTCAGCTTCATTATTTTAAAGTCACTTTTTTCTTTTTTTTGTATTGGGGATTGAATCCTGAAACAGGGACTCTTTGCCACTGAGCTACATGCTCAGACTTTTTAAATTTTATTTTGTGACAGGGTCCCACTAAATTGCTTAGGGCCTTGCTAAATTGCTGAGGTTGGCTCAATCTTACAATCCTCCTGCCTCAGCCTCCAGAATCTTTGGGAGTGCCACTATACTAGGCACTTTTCAAATTTTGGTAAGAATGATAGAGCCAGGCTGGGTTTGGTGGTGCACACTTATAATATCAGCAACTCAGGAGGCTGAGGCAGAAGGATCAAAAGTTCAAGGCTAGCTTTGGCAACTTAGGGAAGCCCTAAA